GGAACAATTTGGCTGTGTTTCTATATCCAGTCTGAGATTCTCAGAAGTTTCAGTGCTTAATAAAATTGATATATTTCAACTTATTTGATTAATCACATCTCATAATATACATCTGTACTTGCTGAACATATAACACACAAAACTTGAAATCTAGCTTCAACAACATTCTGAGTTGCTTTAGTCTAAAGTTTAATTTACAAAAAGTCATTTAATCATATTAATAATAATTCATATTATTATATAGGTCATTTATACAGCAACATCCTTATTTGTAGAAGAGAAGTAGGTAATCTGCTTAACCATTTAATGAGAAAAAAATAGTTTTTTTCCTATAATTTTAGTTATATGTATGTTTATTAATTTGCTTTTTAGAAAATATCCCACCATTTAATTGTAGTGGGTCGTGGTGATACAAAATGTAAGGGTAGGGGTAGACAAATGGGTTGCTAGAAAAGTATTCACTGAGGACTTAGTGGGTTATTTTTGACAGTTGCAAGAGAGGAATGAGGGTACAGGGAGGGAAAACTGATAGCTGTTTAATTGATACGCTTTCCTGAAGAAGTGAGTTTTCAATGATTTTTTGAAGGAAGGAATGGAGACTGGTTGAAAGTCTAACAGAGAAGGGAAGAGAGTTCTACAGGAATGGTGCAGCCCTGGAGAAGTCTTGATATAATGGGACCTAGAGATTCTGGTTCATTCTACGTCGCCTGCAGTAGCATGTTCAGTGAATCTATACTTGTGGTTGGTTAAGAAAGGAAATATTGCAACGCAAAATATGTGAGTATAGGCTTAAGGTATGGGCTTCATATATACTCAGTGAGTTACTGCTAGACCTGTGCATTCGGTTTCAAATGAATTGCGATTCATCTGAATTTTGGGCGATTGGCGATCAACCCAAAATCCATTTCTTCTAAGCTATATAGGGACGAAACATTTGTGATTCATAGTTTCTTCCAGTGATGCCCCCCCAAAAATGATACATGATTGATGGAAATAGAGATGATTGATGGTTATGGGACAGGCACTAAATGGTAATTTTATTCACATACCAGGTGAGGAGTGACCAACAGATGGAAACAAGGGAGAGCATTGAAACAAAATGTGTATCAACTCTGAATTCTATGTGTCGTCTTTGCTCAGAAATGTGAGAAACGGAGGTTCTCTTGAAAGCTTGTCATTACAAAATTCTGTTACTCCAATAAAAAAGGTATTACAAGATATGACTTTTATCTGTTTTTTACATCTGCATCACTGGACTAATACGGCTACAATCTCTACTCTATATATATATATATATATATATATATATATATATATATATATACACATAAATATCATTTGTTTTACTGCCTCTCCCTTTTAACATCTATTGATTGTTTCTTCTCACTTGATCTGTGAACCAAATGGTGCAAAAATGTGAACTACAAAATATATACATTATATTCATCATTTTCAATACTCTGGCAATTTTCACACCATTTTGGTTTATTCAAATTGTTTTTCCTGAAATGATTACATGGGTATAATTCATCCAAATTGAAATCCCACCTTGACAAATCACGAATCGCCTGATTGACAAATTGAGGACTTGATTTGTACAAACCAAATTTTTCTAGTCTAATTACTACACATAGGCTAAACGTTCACTCATGAATAATGTCTGTCCATTCTTGGTGACTGCTTTTTACACTCTGTTTTTATTTATTTGCAAATTCTCAGGGTCTACATAAGATAACCTTTTGACTTAGATCACAAGGTTAAGCTTTGAGATGACAGCTTCCTAATTCTCCTCTGCCACCCAGCCTCACTTAATTCTCAAGCTTCAGATGATAATTGATATAAACTTTTCTGGAGACTTTATCTTGGCAACATGAAGACATCATCTGTTTGGATTTTATTCTGTATCTGGCAAGGATGATGAAAGAGTACACGTTTCTTAATGCATATGGTCAAAGTGAACGCACTTGTTAAAATATATTTCTAGTAGCCGAAATGAATTTCATGCAATCTAAACCTGGAAGAAACTGCTTGTTGTGTTTTTGATTAACATTACTGGTTTGTGCAGTGCTATAGTTCTTGTGGATAGCATATGTAGCTGTAGGCTGGTCATCTAAATGACCTCTATTCTTAGTATGCAGTTTAAAAAGAACCACTACTTTGATGTGACATTTAACGAGGAAGACGTATTTCACATGATGTGACAGATTTGTAAGGACTTGAAGCCAAAAGGGAGTCAAGCTTCAAATTCCTCTGTTTTGTTTAATTGCTGATGTGGTCAAATACTTAAAGTCTCTATACAGAACCCTTTAGATTGTTTTTATTCTTTTTTTATTTAGAATTTATTGAAAACTTGAATAACAAAACATTGAAGCAAGGTTGAGTTAAGACAGACTATACAACAACAGTGAAAACGAGACAGACGTATGTGTCAACAAATATATAACAAAGATAGCACTACTATTGTAGCATAAGCTATTGATAGTCAAAGATTAAGGTATCGGTAAAATCTAATGAGGATTAACAAACATTTCCTCGAATATTGGTGTGGAATAGGAACACAAGTGATGAAGTTGACATTTGGGAGGAGTATTGAAGGAGATAGATGGAGGGAGATAATGGGAGATAATGAAGGGGTATATGGAGAGACTTTAGATTGTTTTTAAACTCGATTATTATTCAATGACTTTCCAAAAATATTGCAAAACATTTGCTGGAATTTGGGATATTTGGGGTTATGTGTAATTCACCACTTTTACTGGCTTAGATTTTGAAATATGTAGTTTTGGAAATTATTAAACATGGTAAAATGAAATAAATACAGTACGTTGGAAAAACTGCAGAAGGTTGCACTAGTGGTTGGAAATTGTGAACAGGGCTTCCATGAAAACTCTTGGGGTCCCTTACAAAATCGTAGGCCAGCCCCACCACTGCACAGTTAAGTACACATAAACAAGCAGACTCAGGCTGCCACAAATAGAAATGCACAGATACACACTGCTTCACACTGCCACATTCAGATAATCAAATATATACTAGGGATGTGCATGGGGAAAATATGGGAAATTCGGCACTTCGGAACTTCGACACGTTGGAAATTCGGCAACTTATTATTGAGTCAAATTACTCATCAATAATGTCTGTCCATTCTTGGTGACTGCTTATTTGAGTCAAATTACACAGTGTTGGAAAATTTCAAAGAACTTTCCCAAGCTGTGAAATTACACAGAGCACTCTGATTGGTTGGATTTCAAGCTAACCAATCAGAGTGCTGTGACAGGTAAATGTAGAGACTTACCTGTCAGTCTCTTCATTTACATGTCAGAGCACTCTAATTGGATGGCTTAAACCAACCAATCAGAGTGCTCTGAGCCTAATTGCAGTGCGACGGATATTATGTTTTTTTATTTGGCCTTTTTTGGAGCTGAAACAAATAAGATTTTAGAAAAAGGAAGACATCAAATGGTAAGTTTATTTTTTTACAGGTACTTAGTCATTGGTAGGGTAAGGGGGGTAGGTAGGGATTTATTAATGTTTTTTGGGAGGAGGGGTGACTAGAGGTTTGGGGACCCCTAGTCACCTGGGGGGGTAACATTTTTATTTAGGGCTCCCACCTGCCGCTCAGGGGTGGGGGCTGAGTGGGAGGACAATGGTTCCACCCCCTTATTTTACTTTAGGGCCCAAACCCGCCACTCAGGGGTGGGGGAGGGGGGAGGACAATAGGTCCCCCCATGTGAAGTAATTTAGGGCCCCCACCCTCCGCTCAGGGGTGGGGGCCGGGGGGAGGACAATAGGTTCCCCCCCTTATTTTACATTAGGGCCCCCACCGCTGCTCATGGGTGGGGCCGGGAGGGAGGACAATAGGTCCCCCCCTGTTTTACTTTAGTGTCCCCACCAGCGGCTCAGGATTGGGGGCCGTGGAGGAGGACAATAGGTCCCCCCCTTAATTTAATACATTGCAACCTTCCTCCCCCAATTGAATGCACTGTCCTCCCCCAGTTTAACACACTGTAACCCCTCCCACTACTCTAATACGCTGTCTTCCCCCCAATTTAACACACTGTCCCCCTTCCCACCACTCTAATACACTGCCCCTCCTCCCCAATTTAACACACGACACATTAAGGCCCCCCAAACCCCTCTTCCCTAACCTTAAGGCAAGCCAGACACTCTGCAGGCAGCTAGCCAATCTGCATACTGTAGTGCTGCCACTGCGCAGCCGCAAGTTTGACATGCTTGCTCTAAACCATGTCTGTTTACTTTAACTGACTTGTAGCCACAATGAACTCACAAGAAATAGCTCCACAAGTTAAGGCAAAGGTCAATGTTTTATGTTTTAATAAAAAAATAAAAAAAACAGAAAAAAAATATATTTTTAGAAACCCATTGTACAAGTACAATAGCCACTAATCAAGTCACATACATACAATAAAGTAAGTTACACAATTTAGTTTGCGTAGTTCCATAATTTTTGAATTACACTTTTGTTCCATAGAAAAAACATAATTTGAAAACTCCAAAGACACAGCTGTATGCAAAAACGTATTGTTTAACAGACACGTACAATAGGTTTCACTGTTTCAGATGGCCAAACTACTACTCTGAAGGTTGCATAACATAATACAATTGGAAGCAGAATTATAACATTCTGTGATTTCCAAATAACTGCCCCAATGTAGCAGATTTTTTCACTTGCGTAACTTAATGTGGGAGGTATCCCATCATAAGCAACTGTTCCCTGAAATTGCCTCACCATTTAGACATCATCATGCTTGCTATGTCTGTCATACCCTATATGAACTTTTTTTATCTCTATAAACTGTGACATGGTTATGGGATGTAGGATAAACTGTGATACTAAACATGTAATACAAACTGTTACACAATGGCAAGAAGTTACTAATCTATGGGGTTATGTCCCGTAACAGTTTGACTCTGTCTGATCCTCTGTGATTTCACAATTGAGGAACTCTTAATAACGCTCATTAGTAATGATTACATACCTCATCAGCATGTCCCACCGCTCCATAAATCTTCGCTATCTGTCCAATGAAACATGGGAAACTGTCCCCTAGGTCTTTTAATGTGGAAAGAGAGCCTGCCAGTGAAAGTGGTTCATATGTTGATATTTCTAAGAGAATATTAAGGATGATATCACTGTAACTAGGATCTGATACATATTCCATTAGAACAGGAAGAGTCTCTGTTAGAACCTAAAAGACAAATAATATTGATTGTATAAATATGCCATGTAAAAAAAAGCAAGCCATAGACTTTGAAATCATATTAAAAACCTTAAACTTGTATACAATAATGGGTTATGGTAACAGTGCAAGAAGCCTTAAACAGTATTGTACATGTAATTTACTTATTACTATTTATTTTTTTAGTAAAAAGATTGTTGGTCTAATAAAAAGTTGTAGCATGCTCATAACTGTATTTTATTTATAAAATGTGAGCTTGTTCTGCATTGCTATCACAAGTATCCAGGGTGAGCTAAAGGTCACTGACATCTGAGTTCAGGTCTTTATATATCCTGTATATGGATTTAGATATATTACTCCTCTCTTTCCACATCCAATTCCAGTCCCTTTATACGTCCAGACCCTCTCACTATACATAAAGTTTATTCAGGTACCGTGATATATGTTTGCATGATGCAACGGACGCAATGGCCCACTTCTGGTGGTTATGTCTGGAGGTCCACACATTACTAGACAAGGTGGGAAATATAGAAGGTTTATATACCCCTCCACTTTAGGATGGCCTTATTTAAAGCATTTCTTTTCTCATTTTCTAAGATTGAAAAGATATTAATGAAGAAAATACTGATAACTGCCTGTACACTAGCCCTTCGGAACTTAAATTATCTTACATTACTGTAATTCTAGATACTGTCCAGGGGCGGACTGACAGGTCGGGCAAATCGGTCATGGACCGAGGGCCCGAGGCAGTCAGGGGCCCGGCAGCACAATCATGCTCTGGCTGAGGAGATCAGAGATCTTCCCAGCCAGAACAACATGATTTCTCCGTTATTCCAGTGATATGCTACAGCATATCACTCTGTAGTTAACCCCCTTTCTCCCTCACCCGTTTCCCCTCTCTCAGGGAGACCTGGCAGTGAGTATTCAGGTCTTGTTGCCAGGTCTCCAGCCGTGCGGTGCTGAGTGTGAGCAGGAATAGGCGGGGCCATGAAGTGACATCACTTCCTGCCTTGCCTGAAGAGGAGCTGCAGCAGCCTGGCAGATAGCTCAGGTAAGCTTCTTATAATTATTTTCTGCAAATCCTCATTCAACTCAGCACCACCTGCATTCTCCCTGCACCCACCTCAGCCCCCAGTACCCACATCTGCTCCCACCTCAGCCCCACTGTACCCATCTCAGCCCCCTGCACCCACCTCAGCCCCCCTGTACCCACCTCAGCCCCCAGTACCCACCTCAGCTCCTCCTCCACACACCACATCTCCCCTTGCACCCACCTCAGCTCCCTGTCTCCCTGCACCCACCTCAGTCCCCCTGTACTAACCACAGCTCCCCCTCCACACACCACATCTCCCCTTGCACCCACCTCAGCTCCCTGTCTCCCTGCACCCACCTCAGGCCCCCTGTACTAACCACAGCTCCCCCTGCACCCACCTCAGCCCCCCTGTACTAACCACAGCTACCCCTGCACCTACCTCAGTTCCCATGCATTTACCTCAGCCATCATTCCTCCTTACACTCAGCCCAGAATCTACCTGTCCCTGTACCCACCTATTTCCCTATGCACCCACCACAGCCCCTATGCCACCTCCACCTACCATAGCTCCTATGCCAGTAGAGCCTCTTTTATCCAAACACGCACACACAACAGCCCCAGTAACCACCAGATGCCTACTACAGATTCTATCCCACAGACACTGCAACACAGCCAGCCATCTCCACTCACATAATGCACTGCAAATCGCCCCATTCACACACGCAAAAATCCACAAGGAGCCTCACTGTATAGACACAGTCCCACAAGCAGCATCCCCACACATACAAAACCACATGCTGCCTCCCTACACATACACATCACAAACAGCATACCCACCATTGCAATACTGCACACAGCCTCCACACACACATCACTTATATAGCACCAACATATTCTGCAGCGCTGTACAATAGGTAAAACAAGAGAACACAACACTTTGACATACAGGAACACAACATCACTAGCAACATCCCCACACACGCAACCCCACAAGTAGACTCCAAACACATGTGGCTACTTGTATGGTTGTACATGTGGGGTTGCTGCTTGTGATTGCCTCAGCAAAATCAGTGGAAGTGTGTTATTAAATTTGCTTTATTTCTTTATTTTCAAGGGACACTATAGTCACCCAGACCACTTCAGCTCAATGAAGTGGTCTGGGGGCCAGGTCCCTCAGGTTTTAACCCTTCAGATGCAAACATAGCAGTTTCAGAGAAACTGCTATGTTTACATTTGGGGATAATCCAGCCCCTAGTGGCTGTCTTCCGGACAGCCACTAGAGGTGCATCTGCGACGCTGGGGCGCATTCTACCTCCATCACGCAGAGCGTCCATAGGAAAGCATTGAGAAATGCTTTCCTATGGATACTTTGAATGCGCGCGCGGCACTGCCGCGCATGTGCATTCGGCTCCACTGACGTCAGATGGGGAGGAGAGGTCACCAGCGCCGAGGGAGCCCAGCACTGGATTAAGGTAAGTAGCTGAAGGGGTTTTTAACCCCTTCAGTGCCATGGGAGGGGGACCCTGAGGGTGGGGGCACCCTCAGGGCACTATAGTGTCAGGAAAACCGATTTGTTTTCCTGACACTATAGTGATCCTTTAATTGCTGGGAAGGCACGCCAGCAAGGGTTACTCCATCTAAAAACAGTGTTTATTAATACACTGTTTTTGGTTGGATTAACTTCTTAAAAGTAAATCTGGCCATTTTTGTGGGCTCTGCTAGTGTGGCAGTCAGGGCTGTGTGGCTCTCACACAGCCATTCTGTGTGCTGGGCAGCCTACACATAATATATGTGTAAAAGCAGCAGAAAGAAGGGGAAGAAGAGTAGCAGGGGACCAGAAAACCTTGTGCCAGGACCAAGAGGGGGGGCCCTTGATCACCCACCGCCCGAGGGCCCTGTGAGTGGTCAGTCCACCCCTGATACTGTCCTTTTCATAACACAAAACTGAACTATAAATTATTAACAAAACAATAGTTATGCAATCAAGCTATATTAATCCAATTTTGGTTAGAATGAAATGCCCGAGTTGCCCTTAAAACGGACCATTAGGCAACTTAAATCAATTTTTACAGTGGATATCTTTTTCTTTATATGGACAGTAAAAGCTTGTTTACAGAAGATCGAGGAAGGAAATTGCATTTCATAGCATCCACAGGAGATTAACTGGTTAATTGCATAAAAGTAATATATCAAGGTACTTATTTTATTATTTTTATTTATTTTTTTATAACGGATCAACTTTCAGACACACAGTAGAGCTTAATGCAGCAAAGAAAAGCACAAGTTATTTGTCTAAATTTTACATCAGATGTCTATGATTTCAGTAAATTTTGGGAAGTTGGTCACAAAATACAAGGAGTGAAATACAATTTCCCATCTCCTATAACCTCCGATCCAGTACCAGCACTTTATTTAGTCTACCTTAATACAAAAAGAAAGCAGCCCGATCCTCCTTTAACTACAGAGCGCCGCAATTATGGAACAACCTTCCGCACACTTTCAAATCTTCCCCAAGCCTAAAGCCCTCTCTACATACCTCAAAACAGAATACACATGTTATGGTTGATTATATATTTCCTACCTGTTCTATGTTACATTTTGTATATATTGTGTATTAATATTGTTTTTGTATTTTATTGTACCCTAATTGTAACAATGCAATGACTTGTGGACCCAGGACATACTTGAAAACGAGAGAAATCTCAATGTATCTTTCCTGGTAAAATATTTTATAAATAAATAAATGTAGAATGATTCTAGAAAACAAAATTGCCATAAAAAGTGTATATTGATGCAAAGGATACATAACAGTCTATTAACCTAAGATTATTTTAACACTAGCCATATAACTGGCAGTCTCTGTTAAAACTGTACAAAAATCGTGTTTGTTTGTTTGTATTTTTTTTTTTTTTTATATACACATATATAACAAGGTTTTTTAATGTGTATTACGTAAATGTGATTTGTGCTACTCCCCATTTTGTGTTCAGCAACATCTGCTCAGTACAACGATACCCCCAACGTATGTATTTGCTACTATCCTGTAAAGCTATAGTGCCATATAAGATAACCAACCATTTTAGTTTTTACTGTTAGAATTTTGATATGGGCCTAAAATAAAATCGCAAATTGAGGATGGGTGGTGCCTTTTGGGGCAATTTAGTTGTGTATATATAGATAAATATAAATACCACTTGCAAATATGGACACCATGGGAACTCACACAAAATATATTTTGAGTTTTATTTATTTTATTTGGATTCTTAGCTTTTTCGATTATAATTTATTCACTTAGAATATACCCTATGGTACTCTTCTACCAATAGCTACCTCGGGTACGTAAAATGAAAATATCACAATATATTGGCTAACTCTTTGGCGGAAGCAATTTATATACAATATAACCAGGCTATTTGATAAGGGATTTTGTCGTCTTTTTTTTATGGGTGAATAAGCAATGCTTAATTAATCATAATTAGATATTCAAAGGTATACATGGTTATTTTCCACTTAGGGCCATTTATTAGTCATTGGTTTCTATAAGTTGTGGAAAAGCACTTAAAGTATATGGCTCTGATCAAATACATCAGGCAGTTTACTGATCGCTTAAAGCGGCACTGTCATGCCGAATCCTGTTTTTTTTTTACTCCACTATCTCTAACTGACACCCTAGTCACCCCCAAATGCCCCTAAGCCCCCCACATTACCTATTTTTTATTTATTTTCTGCCCCGATCTTTATTCAGGGCGCAGCCATCTTTGTGTGGGTAGATGAAGTCCCTGTGGGACACGTCACCTGCCCACATTAGATAGCGCTGTAATACCCACACATGCCCAGTGAAACACCTGGACATGCGAACGGGAATTCATCTATTTTTCATTCATCAGACAGACGAATGAATGAATAGAAAAATCAGCCAAACAAACAAACAGTGTTCGTTTGTTCGTTCAGTTTATTACAAGGAGGGAGCTACCGG